CGGGTGAGGGGCCGTGTGGAGAGCGGGGAGGAAACGGCCCTTTGCCCTCCGGTGTACCTGCGTCCAGGGTGTCCTTGCTTCGGGTTTTTTGTACATCCCCCTCGAGGGGATCATTAACAAATAAATAAATAACCCTCACCACAGCTGTGGCTGTAGCAATGCTGCTTTTAAAACAGTTTGTGAGGTAACTTGTGTGAGTGTAATAGGATTATTTTATACTGAGAGGAAGTTTTCATGCTCAGGCTGAGGGGAAGGTTGCAAAGACACCAGTTGGGGAACTCTCTAGAGAAAGATGTTCTGCACCTAGCTAAGGTCGGTTTGGATGCAAAAGGTGACCACCAAGCTAGGCTTTGTTTCTGTTGGGAAATCTTCCTTGAAACAATTCCTGCTTTTCTGTATTGCCCATAAGGTATTGAGACTTTGCACTGTAATAACAAGTTGTTCCTGTTAGCTTTTCACCCTGTTTTTCTTACCAAAATATCTGTATGCAGGATGACCTATATCCATCTATTCCCTTTCTTCCCCACCCCTTTCACAAGTAATGTTTATACCTTTGGGTATTGTAAAGGACAGGAAAGAAAAGAGAGACTACTGTGTAAGGAAAGAGAAACTATTGTGTAGGAAACTCATCTTCCTTAGTACTATTGCTCATAAATACATGTCTTCCTTTTTCCCTTCAGACTACCTGTTCCCAAACTAGAAGATACAATAAGGAGATACTTGAATGCACAGAAACCTCTTTTAAATGATGAACAGTTCAGGTATGGACAAGCAAGCATATTGCAGTATCATTTGCTGCTTTGAAGCTGAGTGTTAAATATCAAAAATATGCCATGTGACAACCTTTTGCCTATTTTATTGATTGCTTTAGGAAAACAGAAGATCTTGCTCATCAATTTGAAAAAGGAATTGGAAGACAGCTGCACGAGCAACTAGTTGCTCAAGACAGTCAAAACAAGCATACTAGTTATATTACAGGTATGTTGGCCTACAGGATAAAGAAAACATCTTCAGTTTGTCATTCTTGATAACAGACAGCTCGTAATTCCAGAAATAAAGTAGGTTGAAGTTCAAACTATCTGTTACATAAACTTGTAATAACAAGCTGTGAAGACTACCTGTGACTATTTCACCAAGTGCCTCTTTGGTGGACTGTGCTTTTGTAACCTTTATATAGTATAATTCTGCAGGACAGGCTGCTGTTGTTTAAAAAGAATCCTGATCCTAATGACTGCTATTTTTTCCTCTTTAAATAAAGAATTTTAAAGGCAACACCAAAATGCTGTGGGATAAAATGTAAGGGAGTGGTGAACCATAGTACTAATACATTTTATTTTATTTTTTAAAAATTGATTACTCAGAAATATATTTATGTAATCTGATCGCTTTGTTGAAAACAATCTTTCAATGGCGTATAGTATTTCTAGTTTGTTCATTTGCAGTGGAATATCATGCATCCTGTAGTAGTGCTGTAAGTGGGGAAATAGTTAAAATCACTATGCAGAGATCTTACCCTAAAAATATCTTTAAGTGTAGAGTTTTTAAGTGTAGGATGGACAGCTTTGTAGGAATATCCTGCAGCCGTAGTTTCTTGGGGAAATCATCTCATAATGCTGGTATGTATGTAAAGTTCCTTACTGTATTTAAATTTGAGTTTGGTTTTTTTTTTTTTTTTTTATTGCTATTTATGTTTAGGTTAATAGAGGAGCTTAACCTAGCAACTACTTAAGGACACTACAGCAATTTCCTTCAAATAATTTCAGGTTATTTAGCAAGAAAACCGAACATTGGGAGGCAGAAGAGGACAGTGCTTCAAGCTTAAAAAAAATCTACAAAACCTTATTGTTTTAAAGAGCAAGAGAATGAGACACAGAAAGAGGAAGATGAGAATAAAGGAAAACAAGTTAAACATAATGAAGGTCAGGAAATGGAGACAAAGAGAAAGAATGGAAAGAGTGAAAGAAAAGGAAAAGTAAGCATATAGTTTTTAGGTTAGTGATTCTTATTTATTGCTTTCCCAGATTTCCAAGTATTCCAAATGCAAATATCTGCTTATGAAGCTATTGGATGGATTGCAACAGATACCTATGCTAGTAGTAGTTTACCTTTTGTCCAGCTAATGCACTTCTAGCCTTGGCGTCGACTGATAATACCCAGACAAGTGTTAGCTTAATAAATTCCAGCAATCATAAATTCTTTAGAAAATACCATATTATTTCACATAAACTGCAGTTCAGTTTGTTAGCTTGTATTTTCCTTTCATTTTGAACAGTATCTGGGGTTCAAACTGGTGAGTGTATAATGTTTATCACTAATAACCAGCATGCTACTTTGTGTCAGAGTATTTATCTATCTGTTTATTTATTTATTTTACCCCTCTCCCTGGTCTTCTGAAAGACCTTTTCCACTTGATTGCTGGAGCTGTGTATAGTTGCCTCAACTTTGGTCCATAAAAGATTTTATGATGATGAGTAATGTGGTTATAAAACCATAAATGGATATTCACTTGTGAGGACTTGGAATTAGAACTGTGTCAGATTTGCAAGTGCCTGGTAGCCCTCTTACACCCCAGCTGAATGTTCCAATTTGGGAGTAGTCCAGGGTTAGAAAAAATGGTATGTTAGCTGCCATGAGAGGAAATCTGTGTGCACTTTGTTTGTCTGCTTGCAGTTAGTGCTTAATGTGATGACTTACTAAGTGTAAAGGTCTTAATGATGATGAAATATGAGGTACCTTAAAAATCCCTTAGTTCCTATACCTCCTGGATTTTTGTTTACTCAGACTAGTGTGACTGCATTGTGGAGTTATGATTAACTCGCTTGGTTATGGCAAGTGCACGTTCTTTGGGTCACGTTCATGCTTCATGCTGACGGGCCACCTGGTGAAATTAGATTGTTTAGAAGACGTGCAGGTATCAGATGTAAAACTTATTTTGGAAGCCTGCTCTTGTCTTGGAGCAGTAACCTTGAGGTTCCCTCTAATCTCTTCTATCTGCCAGCTTTAAAACTGGCAATGCATTACTCAGTGGTCATGTATTGGTATTGAGAGTTCTGCTCAGTGCTGATCGTTCTAGTGGCTAGAAAGAGGAAGGTGTGAAAATACAAGGTAGCCAGTATAGATGGAAGAATGCTGCTAAGAATGAGGGGAATAGGAAAGACAAACAATAAGAGAAACCTGGATCAGAAATAGAGGATGTTCTAAAGAGAAGCATGCCTCAGTGTCAAGGTACTGCAGAAATCAGTAACTTAAGTGTAAAGGTATTTTCCACATTAAATGTGAGGTGTGCACCACGGGGCTCCATTTTATATCGGGAGTTATGGATTATTGCTGAGGCCTATAGAAAACATGGAAACGGGCCCTCATTGCTAATGACATGGACACTCTTGGCATGGATTGTTACAAATACAATATTTTTGCGATTAGTCAATAGTTCCTCTCTTAATAATTGGAGATTGAGAGAGCCCTTGAGGGAGCTATTGCATGTGTCTGTGCTATTCTGAGGCACTTCACTCTTCATCACTGTTGGGGGTAGGATATCAACTATATGAACCTCTGATCAGACTCAGTAAGCTGCTTTTGTGTTCTGACCTACTTCTCAACTCTCTTTTCAGGTCCCTGGTTTGATATGTACTTGAAAGCACGTGAACCTGTTGTTTTGAATTTTAATGCATTTATGTCTTTTTATCCTGATCCAAAATCTGAATACAATGATCAGCTCATACGAGCTACGAACATGACCGTTTCTGCTATACGTTTTATGAAGACCTTAAGGGCTGGTTATCTAGAACCAGAAGTTTTTCACCTCAATCCTCAAAAAAGTGACACTAAGCTCTTCAAAAAATTCATTCGATTTGTGCCTTCTTCTCTTTCTTGGTTTGGTACCTACATGGTCAATGCATATCCCCTAGATATGTCTCAGTACTTCAGGCTTTTCAATTCAACACGCCTGCCTAAACTCAACAGAGATGAGCTTTATACAGATGAAAAGGCAAAGCATTTGCTGGTGCTGAGAAATGGGAATTTTTATGTATTTGATGTTATTGATAAAGATGGAAATATGGTGAAACCTTCAGAAATACAAGCGCACTTGAAATACATCCTCGGTGACAATAGTCCAGCCCCAGCCTTCCCTCTTGGATATCTCTCCAGTGAAAACAGAGATACATGGGCGTTGCTGAGAAAAAATCTATTGGACAATGGCAATGAAGAAGCTCTTCAAAAAGTAGACTCTGCCCTCTTTTGCTTAAGTTTAGATGACTTTTCTGTCAAAGACCTTGTGCACTTGTCCCACACTATGTTACATGGAGATGGTGCTAACCGCTGGTATGACAAATCCTTTAATCTTATCATAACCAAAGACGGCACGGCAGGAATTAATTTTGAACATTCTTGGGGAGATGGGGTGGCTGTGCTCAGATTCCAGAATGAGATTTTTAAAGATAGCACTGCAGAACCAGCTGTCAGCCCCCAGTCCCAGCCTGCTTCAGTTGACTCTTCTAGAGCGGTACAGAGACTTGACTTCAAGCTGAATGATGCCTTAAAAGCAGGAATTACCAAAGCCAAACAGAGTTTTGATTCTACTGTAGGAACACTTGTTCTCGATATGCTTCAGTTCCAGAAGGGGGGCAAGGACCTGCTAAAGCAGAAGAAGGTAAGTCCAGATGCTGTGGCGCAGCTTGCCTTCCAGATGGCTTTTCTTCGACAATACAATCAGACTGTTGCTACATACGAATCTTGCAGCACTGCAGCTTTTAAACACGGTCGTACAGAAACTGTACGTCCTGCCTCCATCCATACAAAGAAATGTTCAGAAGCTTTTGTCAAAGAACCATCCAAATATAGTACAGAAGAGCTTCAGAAGATGATTGTGGAGTGCTCAGAATACCATGGCCGTTTGACAAAAGAAGCTGCTATGGGTAAGTGGGAATGTATAGAACACTTAAGCTTTTGCACTGAATTGTCTGCTTAGTTGCAGTAAAAGATTGCTTTGCAGCTAAATAATTTAATCTTTGTGGAGGTCTGATGCTAAGTAGAGTTTAGAATGTGAAAAGTAGTAGCAGATTCTAGTTCAAAATGTGGTCTGTACAACCAATTTCTTGATGGAGGAGAGTGCCTCCATGGTCCCACTTTACTATGTTTTTCTTTTTTCCTTTTTTTTTTTTTTCCTGTACCTCAATTTTTTCTATAGCAGGAGTATAAAGCATTAGTAAATACTTGGAATGTGCTTAAGTCTGCAAGGCAATCAAAAACTTCAGTTTTATGACTAAAGAATTGTTATGCTATCCCCTGCAGGCAGATAAAGGTTTTAAAAACTTCCAAACCAAACTGATTTGTTGGCTGTGCTGCTCTGAGTATTTTTTTTTTTCCCTCTCCTCCCTTAGAATTGTCCTTCCTGGTAGAATTACTTATGTCTTTTCAATAAAATCAGTAAGACTATTGAACATTACCCACATAGCATTTAAAATGGACATCCTTTGTTGAGGCCATATCCTCTTCATCTTTAGATTCATAAATTTAGGGAAGGCCTTTCTCTCCCTGGCTTGTTTTAAAAAACTTAAAATCACTCAGGTAAAAAATGAATATAGTTAATTGAAGAATGTGACATATTATTAAAGTCTTTAATGTTGCACTTTTATCATGATTATTGGTTAAGGCGTAGTAATAAAACAGCCACCCCTAAAGATAGACCTCATTCCCTGGCATAACACAAAAAAGTGCAGATGTCTTAAATCTGTAAAATGTTTCACTAACTTAAACAAAAGCTGTTCTATAGACCTTCTCTTGGTTTTGTGACTTAAAAGTAACATGATGTCTAAGTAACAGAGTTTACTTCTCAGTGATATCTCTAATAATTGTTACTTTATTTCTACAGGTCAGGGATTTGACCGCCATCTCTTTGGCTTGCGCTACTTAGCCTTATCCAAAGGTACTGCATTACCTGATTTCTACCAAGACCAAGCCTATGCTCAGCTTAATCACAACATCTTGTCTACAAGCACGTTGTCTAGCCCAGCTGTGCAATTAGGAGGATTCGGCCCAGTGGTGTCTGATGGTTTTGGAATAGGGTATGGAGTACATAATGATTGGATAGGTTGCAATGTTTCCTCTTACCCAGCTAGGAATGTGAAAGAATTCTTGCAGTGTATAAACAAGTCACTGGAAGATATCTTTAATATTTTACAGGGCAAAAAGATTGGTAGTTAGACATAAAAGAGTTGTACCACTTCACAGTTGCATAATGAAATGTTGGCTATTTTTAAATGCCAGAATGTTGTAATCACGGTTCAGTGTGGCTGAAAACTTCCCTGTTTAATTCATTTATCTACATTGAATTTGGATATTTTGTAGATTCATTTTGAAAACTTTACCTATTTTGAAGGAATCAAGTGCCTTGGATGTATGTTTCAGGAAAGACGAACATAATGTCAAAATTAAGTAACGGACATATCATGTAGTCTTAAAATACATTACTTAAAATACAAAGCAATAATTGTGATATTTAAGAACTTGAACAGCTATGTTTCATGAGTTTCAGGCAGACAACAGCCCTGTAAAATCACTTCTAAACTGTTCGGTTTTAGAATAACATATGCAACGGTTAATATGAGAAAGAGAAATGGTAACATTTGCACTTCTGCAGTAAGCTTGCTTACTACCTTGTCACACTTACTTTTCTCTCTAAACTTGAATCAGTCACACTCAGTGTGACTCGACTGCTTGAAGCCTTTCCGAAGTGGCAATTTTGAGAAACAGCGATTGAAATGGGAGGCTTTAAGTAACCTGCAGCAACCAGTTATGTTGTTAAAATATCTGGGAAGACTATTGTTGTAATAAAGCTATCTATGAATAACCACAAAGTTATTTTATTGCCATATTGAAGTAGGCAATGTGGGGGTAATCTCTTGCATCAGTAGCTTGTTATAAGGGTTGAAATGAACTTCTTTGAAAACATGCTGCAGTGCCCACTATTCCCTTCCCTCTATCCAGTGAAGTCTATCCAGTAATCTGCTGATTTTTGTTTTACTGCTAAAACCTGTGCTGTTATAGCTCTTGTATTTTTTTCCCCAAACCTTCTTGTAATGAAGAAGAGGAATCCTTAACAGAAACACTTTTCCCTTAACAGAAACACTTTACTCCACATACTTGAACTTGACTTCTCTTGCAATCTGAATATTGATATTGTTTATTGTAGTGCTAATGCTTTGGAGCTTGCTGCAGAAGTTCCAAAGATTAAAGCTTGGCAGGACCCCCTGAAGGAGCTTGAGCCCAGACACCAGTGAAACTTGGTGGTGCTGGGAATGAGGTGAAAGTGATGCAGACGCATTCCTGGAGTGCTGCTCACAACGGGGGGATATGTTAACTACCACGAGGGCTTGCAGCAAAAGGGTCTTTGTCAGGCAGAAGCCAAGCTTCTCAAAGGAGCTGGAATTACAGCACAGATACCCTTCCTTCATGTGGGAAGCTGCCTTTTGCCCAGAATTCACTATGGCACGTGCAACTTGATGCCTTCGCCTTTTGGACCTTAATGCCTTCCACTTTGTTTTTCTTCTGGTATATGAGTGTCTCTGTCGCTAAAAGCACAGCAGTGCTTGCTTCTGCAGTCAGTGTTTCAAATAGCTTTAAGTAGTGTTAAATAAGTGCAACTCTTGTCTTCCACTACAGCGCAGTGTGATCCAGACAGGCAAAAATATTAGCAGAATATAAAGTCCAAGCGTGGAGGTACAATGTGACTAATGATGTTCAAAGGCCCAGAAGCATACTTCTCTTTACTCCTCCTTTAGATATGTCAGCTTTTACATTCTGCTAACGTCTTTTTTTTTTTTCTCTTTAGCACAGTAAGCATTAGCAGTACCATATTTTGAAGTATACACTACAAGTGCTAGGTAGGAGGGGAGCATACTTTAAATATTTAGGCTAAATGGCTTGTAATGGTTTCCTCTGCACCCTGTGATATGGTATTCTAAATAAAAAGGATTATTTTAAGAATAGCACACTGTCCTTGCAGTCTGCTGTTCCCTTTGTCCCTCAAAATCTTGAAACTAAGTTTAGTAAAGACTTTTTTTTTCCTTACATGGGAATAACTGGCACGACTGTGAAAACATCTGCCATTACATAGAAAGCCTGTCTGCAACTAGAGCTGAATAAGGTGTATCTAAAAATATATTTGGAAAGATAGCTGTAATATCTTCTGAAAATCAAGTTATACATAAATGTCAATAGGAATCATGCCTGTTTTTAGTAGATTGATTCCAGCATCTGTACTTGAACTAGTAGAAAGCTATTGTAAAAACGTGCATTTTTGCTTAAGCCATTATCACGGTCCTTTTACGACACTCAGAGCCATTTTTTAATACTAGGAATGGTGAGGAACAGGATCTCATGCTGCTGCAA